GTGGGTTGATTTTGAGATGATTTAACCCATGAGAGGGCGATTTGGGAATCGCTCCATAAGTGAATTTCAGCCAGAGGCACTCCTATTTCTTTCTCTATATAGGCAGTGGCTCGGACTCCGATGAGAATGGCGATCAATTCCATTCGTGGAATTGTCAAAGTTTTGCCTCCCTTTTTAGGCTTGAGGCGATTTTTTGAGAATATGAGTGAGGTGGTTACGGTATTTTTATTCACACCTCTTAGATAAATAGCGGCAGCGTAGGCGCATGATGAAGCGTCTACGAATGTGTGAAGTTCAATTTTGTCGGTACTAATTGAGAGTGCCCTCCGAGGAAGAAAAATGTTCGAGTCTCGCCACCCTTTGAGAAAATGTTCCCAAACGGACGATTCTTCCTCGGAAAGGGGACTGTCCCAATCTCTTCCCTCGTCCCAGAGTTTCTGAAAGAATAACTTGGCTGGGAGGATTGAGGGAGATAGTAGGCCTAGCGGGTCATAAATGCCGGCTAGAGAACTGAGGACAGCTCGCCGTGAGGTGTTCGATTTAACTCCTTCTTTCGGTAAGAGGAAACTAAGTTTGTCTGTGTGTGTATTCCAAGCATTCCGAGGACTTTAGGTTCCTTTGAGTCTAGGCGGTCCTTTTCCGGAATGGCTTTCATGAGTTGACTGGAATTTGATGAAAATTCACGAAGATTCATTCGTGCGTCGGAAAATATCTCTTTTGCCCTTTGGCACTTGTCAAGGAGTTCAGGCCAAGTTTCCGCGCCTAAATGGAGGTTATCCACATAGAGGCTGTTGGCTAGTTCCGCTGCAACTCCTTTACCGTATTTGCCAAGATGGTGACGAATTACTCCCGCTAATAAATAAGGGGAGCAAATTACGCCAAAGGCCACTCTTGCAAATCGGTAATATTGAATGTTTTCTCCTTCGGGTGGTCTAGAAATGTCCTTCACCCAAAGAAATTTGGCGAACTCACGGTCGGAAGGATGTAATCCGACCATTAAAAATGCAGATTCTATATCTGATATTGCGACATATTTTGGTAGTCGGAACCGAATTAGCAATCCGACTAGCTCTGGCAGCAAGACAGGCCCTCGCAGCAGGCAATCATTCAACGATGGTTGCCCCCGAGGGTGAGCGCTGGCATCAAAAACTGGTCTAATTTTGTGGGTAATAACGGCATGATGGGCCAAATAGTGTTCTTGCCCTTCAGTATTTCTTTTTGCTGGTTCAATGATTCCTTGCTTCAGGTAATCTAGGAAAACTTTATTATATTTTCCCAATAGATCGGCTGATCGATGAAGGCTAGTGTAGGTGGAACAAAATCGGCTGAATGCCATTCTATAATTGCTTGGTAATGGGGCTCTAGGTTCGCGCCATAACCAACTAACTGAGTATCGTCCTTCATCATCCTGAGTTATTGATGTTTCCAATTTATTTATGGCTATCTGGTCGTCGTCAGCAGCGGGATTCTCCTTAATCCCGATGCTCTCTAAACTCCAGAATTCCTCTATTGTATTCGATGGTGGCATTTGGTCTACGCATGTTTTGCCTACCGCGGCTAGAGAATGCGACAATTTACCTCCCTGAGGACTCATGTCGGATTCACCTCCCACGACTGGACCAAATACTGTTTGTATGACGAATAGACCTGGGGCAACTTCAGTTTTGCCCATAAAATATTTCCAGAAATGTCGGGTACCAAGCATGATCCCCGGAATCTCCGTAGACAGCTCAATCGCTCTACGAACCTCCGGCAAATCGGTAGCTCTAGTAGGCATTTCTGCTACCCAATTAGCCATTTCAAATGATGTACTGATTTCTTTTGTCCAATTAAGTTCCAGGTCTTCCCATCCCCCGTCTTCCCTTGCAATAGCAACGGCGTAAGACGGTGATCGGATCCTGATTGGGTCACGCAGCGTTCCTCCAAATCCGTGGACCTCAACATCGTCCCGCGCAATTTGAGGAGGCCGCAACTGGTTGGCTAGTGAACTTGAGATATAACTTAACTGGCTTCCAGGATCGAAGAAAACAAATGCTGGAATTTCCTTAAAAAGCTCTTTCGGTGAGGCAACTGCTATCTTTCTAGTCATAAGATAAGCAGTTGGCTTTTTTCGTAAATGTCCGTAGGCGACGCCAGAAATTGTTTTGCTCGTCTCCTCTTCTTCAGTGTTAGTAATTGGTTGGGTAAGATTTGAACCTGTGCCGGGACCCTTATCTCTGGTCGCGGCCATCTGAGAAAATTGCTTGTTTGGTTTTTGCCTGTTAGGTGGACGATTCGGTGCCTTGGGTGTAAAAGTCGGACGTCCTTTCGTACAAACCAAAACGTGATGACCCTCCTGGCACTGCGCACATACTCTAAAGGAAGGGCATTCTTTAACAAAATGACCTTCGTTTAAGCAACGCATGCATCTTCCTTGTTCCTTTAAGCGACGAAGGCGGTCTTGAGGCGATGGATATTTAGGACATTGTGACGGAAAATGTCCGAGAATGCCACACAACGAACATTTACGCGCTCTATTTCTAAAGCGGTTAAATGTCGGTCGCTGATGTGATGGTGCCCCAAAGGCACGAGTCATTTCAGGCTGCCCTCTGTCAGGGGGCCCCTTATTTCTATGAATGTGGGTCTGTGCTACCTCATGTTTTACTCGGTTCACTGTAGCACACCTCTGAACTTCTTCGCGGATCTCCACGATCTCGCGCAATTCTTTTCTAAGTTGAGCACAATTCCATCTCGCTCCCGAGCCCCTCTCCTTCTCAATTAACTTAGAGATGATGGCCTGGGGCAGCTTTGACTTGATGGCGGTTGAAATGAAGGGGGACGTGTCCACGTGCCCGTAAGCTTCTAGCTGTCTGCAGATCCTCTCAACTGAATCTACAAATGAGCGGAGTGAATGACTGCTCTCATTTGCGTGGTGGAGGTTCATAAGTTCGGCCTCAAGGGCTTCTGTAATAGCCCTACTATCTCCATAGCGTGATTTAAGCAGGTCAAGAGCTCGCGAGTAGTTCTCATTCGACAGAACAAATCCCGCGACTAACTCTTTAGCTGGTCCCTGAAGAAATGTTAAAAGGTAGCTCATTTTCCGAATATCATCCATCGGACGTTGATCAATGTTTGATGAGAATAACTGCCAGAAAGTAGGCCATTTCTTCGGGTCCCCGTTAAAAGGGTCCAGCCGAAGTTCTGGCAACCGAATTTCCGGCTGCCAACGAGTGGCCATGTCTGGATTAAACTGCTGTTTTGGCTGTTGATATGCCTGTTGATTGACTTGCTGGTTGACTTGTTGATATTGTTGTTGGTTGAACTGTTGATTGACTTGCTGAAATTCTTGTTGGTTTACTTGCTGGTTGAATGACTCTTCTCGATAAGAGTGCTCTAGTAAGGATTCATGCTGCTCTTGCCCTCGCTCGGCTAGAGTCCGATCTGACTCTAGGCTAGCTCTGCTGCTGGCTTTGCCTTCTTGTTCGCTGATTAGGTAATCGATCTCGTTTAGAACTCCTCGCGCCTGCTCCGCGATTTCCATGAAATGTACTTGTACGTGTTGTGCTTCTTCTTGTGCTGGGGGAGGGAAATTAAAGTAAATTTGCTCCTCGGCCTCCAGCAATTCGCCCTCTAGGCGATCAATGAGGTTAGCCCACCTCTCATTGATATTGTCGACCCGTTCCAGGGTCCGACTGAGGTGATGCTGCTCACCTCGTAACTGTTCGAGATCTCGTTCGGCACCAGCTCTAACCAAAGCGGTGGCGGCAGCCAGATGAACCTTTAGGGCCCTTAGTGCGGGGCCAAGTTGACTTCTAAGTGTTCCTGATGATGGCATATTAACTTGTGTTTTAAAAGGAATTAAAGGCCGGCTCGGGCTTAATTGCTTTTATTTTTAATAAAAATTTAAATTTTATTTATTTTTGTAAAAACTCAACAGTTTTTACTTTTTCGATGAAAAAGTGTAGAAGTAGTAAAAGACTGTTACTCGTGACAGTCAAAAGGAAAAATGTGAAGAAAGTTAGGCGATGTCCCCTTTGGGAAGTGCAATCGCTCTTTTGTTTTGTGTAGTTAGGAGAAAACTGCACAAAAGGAAAAGTGGCTGACTTGAGCCCACTTTAAGAAAAGAAGAAAAAGTTGACTGCAGGTGCAGTGAAAGTTTGTGTCCTAGTGCGGACAAAAATGTTTATAGCCGGCGCGGGCAAAAATTTAAACAAATGAATGGGTAATGTGATGGCCTGACACGGCTGCAATCACTAAAGAAAAATATGGCTGCTACGGCCAAAGTACAGTGAAGCCCAAAACTGGCGCCTTTCACTGACAAAGTAAAATGTGGCTGCTAATGGCCAAAGGACAGTGAAGCCCAAAACTGGCGACAATCACTGACAAAGAAAGAATGTGGCTGCTAGTGGCCAAAGAAGAGGTGACTGCAAGCTAAGGCAGAAGATCACCTATGAAATATGTAGCCCGGCTCTGGGGTAAGTAAAATGCAGAACAACCTAAGTGTTGTTGTGCTTAAGTGACGGTCCAGCTTTGGGACGGCGACTCACTTAAAAATGTGTATGAAACAGAACGACCTAAGTGTTGTTCTGTTTAGGTGACGGTCCAACCTCGGACGGCAATTCACCTAAAAATGAGTGTTGAATACGGGGGCAGTGCTTTTGGACTGCCAGGACCCGTACGGGGCTCCAAAAATAATGTGCGGAAAATAGAGTGGCACAATACCTCGCTGACTCAATTTGAGGAGGGACAGGAGAGATTCAACCAGAACGAATCAACTCCTTAGTTTGAACGGGCAACGGAGATCTCCAATCTCCAGAAACCAAATTCCTTAGTAAAACACACAAAACACAGAAACACAATAAAAATGTTTATTTAGTTAAAATAAGATTATAAAAGAAGTGCCTCGGGGGAATATAAGCCGAGCACAAGTTTGGGCTGCCGGTCAACAAAGCAGGCCCTTGTGGTCTCAAAAGATTAAAATATGGGCAAGTCAAAAGTTGGTAATAATTGATTGGCAGAGCTCAGGGAGCGCTGGCAATAAAAGGGTAAGCAAGTAAAAGCTGGAAACAATTCAAAAGCAAGTAATGGAAAAAACAACAAGTGATGGACAAAACAAGTGGTAGTAAGCAAGTAAGAAGCAAGTAACTGAATAAGAGCAAGTGATTAAAAAGAATAGGCCAAAACATTAAATAGGGGTAAAAAATGGGCGTAAACAAATATATTTTAAGAGAGCAAAGAAAAGTGTGAAAAATTGTGTTTTGAGCGGGGAAATAAATAAAGTTAAAAATTAATTATTAAAATGAAATGGATTTTAAGTGCCCTTTGGGCACACGTCCGATCCCGAAAATTTTCCAAGACTCAAGACAGATCAAGGCCAAAAATTAACAAGATTCAAGACAATTTTTGGTTTATTTTTCGTGCATTATATGTACACTTGAAGAATTTATAGAATATATAATCAAAACTAGAAGAGGAACTGAAGGAGAACTGAAGGAAGTTCAGGAAGTATGTACAGGTTAGGTAGCTGATGAATTAGGTCTGGGCCATAAAAGCAAGTGTAAATAAGGAGAATTTCTATAACCCTATACATATCTTCCTTAGACTTCTTATTTTTAAACATCATGATTTGGGTTTTTTGTCACCTGTTGACACATATTTTAATGTTTTACAAACTAAAATATTTGTAATATTTTGAACGCTTTAATTATAAAATTAATTTTAACAGAATTAATTCTTTTAAATAATAAAGGCAAATATTTAGCTTTAATTTTATAAATAAAATTATTAAACATAATTTCATATTAAATATAAAAATATTTTTTACTAGACAGACATGATGAAATTTAGCACTTTTTAAGATTCTTTGACAATTTTATTGACAAATTATATTTTCATAAAGTGCTAAATTTCATCATGTTTGTCTAATAAAAAAGAAAATATTTTTATATTTATTATGAAATTATTTCTAATAATTTATTTATAAAATTAAGGTTAAAAAGGCTAAAATTAAGTCCAAAATAGAACCAAATTTTGGCCAAATAGATTTGAATTTTGAAGTCCGCGGGCAAGAATTTTCGGGTAAGAACACCTCTTCCTCTTAGGGTGAGAATCTGGCCCAAGGATGCAAAAATACATCTTTTTTAGATTTGCCAGGGAGGGCATATCCGGGTTCTTGTGTCGAGGTTCATTATAAAATTTAAAATTATAAATTCAACAAGGCTATTGAATTTTTTGGGTTATTTGTGTATTAAGCACACAAAATTCAACATTTCTGTGTTCCAGATGAAAAATTTACAATTATAAGTGGAAAATAAAAAGCCAGATATATTATTTTTAACATCGCAAGCGAAAATTTTATATCAAAATAATTAATTTTAAAATAATTTTTAAATATTAGAGTATACATAAATAAACAAAAATTTCAATTTAATCATATGTATATTTTACAATTTTTCATATTTCAATAATCAGCCCCGCTATGGTTGGTAACCAACGAATATTGCAAAGGCATTGTTCTCGTAAAAACAGTAACGTGGTCATGATAACGCATAGCTATAGTTAAATTTGCATTTTTTAGTTCACTGCAGGGATGGCCACAACAAACTTGGCCAACAATGTAATCATCTCTAAAAAGAAATGAGATTATTTAAAATTTAAAGAGAAGCACTTTGAACAAAAATATATCAGAATAAACAGAAAAAATACACATTAACAGAAAAAATCCTTAACCACAAAAAATAGAAAATCAACATTTATTTGAAGTTTCACACAATGATCAAAATTTTACGACTGATTGTGAAATAGATACATATATGAACTAAAACAGTACATTTAATAAGATCCAGGCTTTTCAGAAATCTCTATCACTACTGTATAACATATTTACAAAAAAAATAATATGAGAATAAACTGAATTTTAAGATTATAATTTACGAAACATAATAATTACTTATTAAGATCAACACAAAATTTAAAAATAATTACCTATCATTTAATAAATTACCTGCTATAAATTGCAAAAGAATTTTCTCCTTCATAACGAGCCATTGCCTGGTTAATGTCCATCATATATTCTGAATCACAAACCATTCCATCTATCGTATTACAGGCTGGGAGATTTTTGGGGCACCTAATTTTTGTTTAAAAAAATTTTTTTTAATTTATTTAATAACCATTCCATTCCATAGGCAACCCCGCCAACCGAAACTTTGAAAAAAATTTCTTTAAATTTTTTTAGATTAATTACCAAAAGTGTCAATATATTCAGTTAGAGGTTCTCCTAAAAATTCACCAGTATCCACACAATGCCCCCCAAGAATAGATTTTCTGGAAATTGCAACACCCATTGAATAGGCAATAATATCAACTGAGGAATTTATTATTAAATTTAATTTAAAGAAATTATTTACTAATTCTATAAAACTATTGTTAATATTAATGATTAGGATAATTATAACTGGAGTTTTTTTTCGGTTAATGTTCTTAGGTTCAGTTCCGAATATCTGAAAATTTTGCAAAGAACTGATAACTCTACATATTAATAATTAATAAAAAATATTTTGAATATTATATTTTACTAATGAACACCAAGTCGGTCCTAAAAAACTCTGAATATTATATAAGAATTATTATTCAAAAATCTTACAATCTTACAATTATTTAGTAGATTTTAATTAACTACTAAAATTAAATCTCTAATATCCACTTTTCGCCTTTCTCCGATTTATTATTCAGTTTTAATAGGGGTGAGGGCCCGATCAGTCCGAAAGATCGAACCGGGCATTGAATTTTGTCCCTAAAAAACTCGGTTGGGCCGGCCAGATATAAAGTGAAACGAACATCAGCCCAATTCGAAACCCCGACCCTAATTTTTATGTTTATTTAAATCCATTCAACAAACTCTTAAAATCAAGATAGTTACATCTTTAAAGGCCCTCCTTCTAAATAATGTTTTATTTGGAAAGCGGTATTCAAATCTAGAGGAAAACTTTAAGGAAAAAAAACACAGTTTTGTTTATCCCTACCAGTTTTTTCAGTATAATTATGTACAGCAAGGATAAACTCTCTTATTTGTTTAACACTTGAACATTCCAATTCATTCATATAAAATGGAGTATGACCTCCATCGGCGTAGGTTGTCGCGTATAACTTTATAATTATTTTTAAAAATTATTTTTTGTTTCGAAACTTGCCTCAGATGTGGAATATCCTTTCCCTAAAAAATAATTTCGATGAGAAACAAAAACGCCAGCACGTAGAGTTACTCCATGAACGAAGATAACTGGCTAATAAAAAATTTTGGAATTAAAGTATTAATTTATTAATGAGAATATGAGAATGGGTCTAATTATGCCATTTTCTGATTTATCATTTAAAAAGTTATTTAACTATTGTAGCACAAAGTTTTCAGAATCAGAGAGAAAGCAATACTTAAGCGAGGGTATACTTAAGCCCGTCTCCCATACCTCAACCGCCGACACCGAAGGCTCGGGAGCTACCCTAACTTAAGCTATAGGAAATTGTAGGTCAGAAATCTAAGTACCATTCAATTGTGAGAACTGGATTTGCATCCAATGTTCCCAATTTTAGGTCATCTTTCCAACTTGTACTTGATACTAGATATATAAAAGTGTAACAATCTTTAAGAGTTCTCTTAGCTTTTACTGATAATTTCGCTAATATATGCAAATTTAGTTAATTTTATCTAATTGAAAATTGGTCCACGCCCTTATTAATAAAGAATGAGACATTTTTTGTTTTAAGTAAAATTTTAACCAATCTCCTTCCAGGGATGTGCGTCATGGCGTTTTGGCGTGACGTTTTGGCGTTTTGGCGTGATTTTTGGCCGATTTTGGCGTGCTGGCGTTTGGCGTGATTTTCAGTTTTTGGCGCGCCAAAACGCCAAAATTATACACCCCTAAAGATGGAAATTTTTTAAAATAAATGGAGGAGTTGTGTTCAAAAAATAAAAATTTTCAGGCTAGAGCCTTCCAAAGTTTTAAAAATTTTCGCCTGCGGCGCATAAAAAGAGAAACAAACTGCATTATCAGCCTTCCAAAAATCTCGAAATTTTCGCCTGCGGCGCTAATAGAAAGATACTCTGATCTAATTACCATTATACATCTGGAACCAAGAAAGTTTAGGGCCGGTATTAGCTAATGTCCTCCTTAATCCTTTCTACGTCTCTTAATTAGGGAGGTCATAGAGGATAGCAGGACATCTAAACCTTTCGATATCCTACAATTCTGGTCCTGTAATTTTCCCATTTCTCTTAAAATTTTTACAAAAAGGATTTTTGACTCTTGGTCTCAACAAATATCCATAATTTTTGGTATAGGCGCTAAAAAAGTATAAATTCTGGATTCAGGAATCGTGAAAATTCAAAAATTTTCGCCTGCGGCGCTAAAATGACAAAAAAACACGGGTTTTTCGAGCCTTAGTAGACTAACATTTTTGGCGTTTTGGCGTTTGGCGTTTGGCGTTTTGGCGTCGTTTTTGGCCGATTTTGGCGTTCTGGCGTTTGGCGTGATTTAAAAATTTGAAAAATTGGCGTTTGGCGTTTGGCGCGCCACGCGAAAATTCTGGCGCACATCCCTGTCTCCTTCCCATCCCTCAAAAACTACCTCATTTATAATCGTATCATTATCCCCCTCTTTTCCTCCAAAACTTCCATACAAATATCCACCCATATCCATCCTGTTCAATTGTCCCCCAACTTCTAAAAAATTTTTTTATTTTAAATTACTTTTTATCAACCTCCCCCATAATTTTTGTCCAAAAATTCCTTAAAATGTCTCGTCAATTCGCCAAAAACAAAAATTAAAGGTAATAAATTAAAAAATAAAATTAAGTTAATTTTGTAAATTAGGACCATTTTTGAGGAAAAAATGTGTGGGGCTAATAAAAATAAATTGGGAATTGAGGGGGAATATATTATTTTTTCTAGCCAATTTTTTTTTAATTTTTAAGAATGACAAAATGATTCATTTTAAAAATGACAAGCATTTTTAAATAAAATATATTTATTTTTTTGTTATTTTAAAATGGTTGGGAAATAATTTATTTGACCTTTGTATTTGGGAGAGAAAATTTAGTCAAAAATAATTATATGGAAACAATTTTATTACCTAGAGATTGGACTGAGAGAGAGAGAAAGAGATTTCGCTCATAATTCGAGATTTTTTTAGTGACTGGTCATTAATTAGGGCAATAATATATTCAGTAATTTAGACTGATTTTTTAGCATAAAATCAGCGTATTTGGCTTTAATTTTTACATAATTAAACTTAAGTCTAATTTAGAAGTAATTGGAAACGGATGAATTAACTAAGGGATCTTTACAAATTTAGAAAGGATTAGTTCCGTTTCAGTTATTAGGAAAATTTGGCAAGACCGAGCATCTATCGTTCCATGTACAGATATTTTTAATTATTGTTCAGGTGTCGCGAGGCGGCATTTAGAGACAAAAAAATGATTATTTAACTAGAAAGTAATTTAAATAACACAGTTAAGAAGATAATTTACAATTTTTTAAAATAAAAATAAATTTTCTTTTACGAAAAAAATTTTTTCAAATTAAAACTTTGCTTATTGTTTACAAATCATCACAATTTCTTAAGAAATTTAAATTATCCAAATAATTAATATCAGACATGAACTTCAGATACTCCAGCTCATTCAGTTCATTTAATTGTTGAGAATTTTCCGTTTGAACATTTTCTTCTTCATGAGGGTTAACACAACCATCCGTTTGTGGATTAACAGATAAATTTCCTTCCTCAATATGGGGAAGGGACTTAAGAGAAGGTCCTTGATCGTTTCCTTCGAAAACAATCGGAGTTTTTCCTTTATCGACACAATCATTATGTGAATTTCCTTTAGCATTATCTGATTGAATGTTAGCTAAATTTAGACAATCCTTTTGTCTTTTTTCATTTTTCTTTTTTAAACGGTATTCTCGCATATATTCTCGTCTTTTTTCCTTATTATTTTTTGTGTATTCTCGATCATATTCTCTCTTTCTTTCATTATTTTCGGTATACTTTCTATAATATTCTCGCCTTTTTTCCTTATTATTTTGATTATACTTTCGCTTACGCTCCCTTAACTTTTCTTTATTCTTTTGACTGTAATCTTTCCAATATTCAGCTCTCTTTAATCTTTTTTCATCCTCATTCATTCCTTTCAAGTCCTTTTCTGTAATTTCAGTAGGTTTCGCCTTTTTATATTTTTTACTTTGAGGATTAGCCGATGATTCAGCCTCCTTGTCAACTAAATTCTGGTCATTTTCTTCGATTATCTTTTGATCTTTATTATTTTTAACAGAATTAATTGAACCCCATAATATCGAATTGAATATTAAGAAGATTAAGACATTAGTAAGATTCATCAGAATTAAATTAAGAATTAACAGAGTGCCCCAAATTAAGAGGACCTTTTTCTTTTAGACTTTCTTAAAAGTCAAACTTATTAAATTTTATTTTTCTGTATTTAATAAAATGACGAAAAAACTATCAAAATTGCTTGTTTATTATATAGGAATGAAAGGTCAATAATGCTAGGTGTCGAAATGGCAGACAAATATAATGAAATTAAAAAAGCAATTGTACTTTTCTTCTCAAAAAACTTAAAACAAATCGTTGAAAGGAAAGTACATAGACCTTTAATAAATATTTTTGTTTTTAAATTATAAGCAAATTAAAGTGTAAGTTTAATTAAGATTATCGTGAGAAAATGATGTTGTCCCCGCTTACATAGACGCTCACAACAGATACCTTATCACACGTAGAAAATACAATATGATGAAGGTTGGGATAGATAGATGGAATAAGACTGAGACAAGAAGAAGAAAGAACTATTGGATGGCTTTTATACTGAACTGTTTAAGTTAACTTGAAAAAAAGCTTCGGCTTTCACTTAAAGCCGAAGCTTTACAATACACTCACAACTTTCCCAACCAAACAAAACAGAACAAAATACATACAAAAATTTGGAAGATAAGGACACTGGGAACAACAAAATAAAACACAACATTACAACAATAATACAAAGACAATATTATCATATTTATAAATTTGGTTCAGCTACATCTCCATGTTTCTGATTTCTTCAGTTCATCTTTGGATTGTTCCCATTGAAGTCTTTGTCCACACTATTGGCACTTGATTAACTTTTGCTACTTTCACTGACTACTTTGTCCTCACTAATGTTCAATTTCTGAATATCTTCATTTAATATTTCTTTCTTATTACTCCTATCGTGACTACGGATTTTTTATACGTCCTGGTAACAATACTTTTCAACACTGGCACTCTAAATTTCCAGGCATTTTCCGTCTTTCGCAATACTCCCGCCAAAAATCTGTTATGTCCCCTCTTACGTAGACGCACACAGCAGACACCTTATCACGCGTAGAAAATACAATAAGATGAAGGTTAGGGTAGGTAGAAGGAATAAGACTGAGACAAGAAGAAGAAAGAACTATTGGCTGGCTTTTATACTAAACTGTTTAAAGGCTAGAACGAAACGGTTTTACGATACAAATATAAACGTAGGTAACCATTAGCTAATAATAGTAATAAAAATAATTTTTTAACTTGAAAGTAGTTTAATTAATACAGTTAAAAATAATTTGTAAAAATAAAAATAAATGTTCTTAGTACGAAAAAATTCTCAAATTCAATCTTCGCTTATATTTAAATATCATCACAATTTCTTAAGAAATTTAAATTATCCAAATAATTAATATCAGACAAGAACTTCAGATAATCCAAATCATTCATTTCATTTAATTGTTGAACATTTTCCGTTTGAACATTTTCTTTTTCTTGAGGGTTAACATTACCATCCGTTTGTGGATTAACAGATAAATAGAGCTCGACCCCGGGCCGGGCCCGGGACCGGGTTTTCCGGGCCCGGTAGCCCGGAAACCGGGTATTTTGATAAAATCCGGTTTTTCCGGGTTTTCGAGGTTTTTAGCCCGGAAGCCCGGCCCGGGTCGCATCTGAAAAACCCGGGCCCGGCCCGGGTCCAATTTCGAGTAAATTTTGTAAAATACTCTGACTTTTTGGTCAATTCTTGCTTCTTAAACATCCAAAAATTGAAAAATTTTCGCCTGCGGCGCTAAACAATATCTCTTAATTCTTTCAAACAACCGATATGCCTCTTATTCGGTAATTGTGAAGAATTGGAGAAAACCTTAAAATTATTTTTTCCTGAAAATAATTTAATGTAGGTAATCGACCATGCTGATCATGAATCTGATATCATATTTTGTCTGATATGACATCTATCTATGATTTTTTGCACACTAGATTTTTATATAATACTTGAATTTTAAAAATGTAGCTTTTATTACTTTTATTAATATTCTTCCTATAGAACACTATTCCGGTGTACGGAATTTTTGACACTGGACCCCTATATTCCCTATAATACAAAAGTATATTAGGGGACTCTCATTCTGTCGCCATGTATGTGAATCTATGCGCCAACCCACCCACAAGGTGGTTATCCCCCTTTATCCCGCAAACAAACTAAATCCCCGATATCCACCTTAATCCTCCAAATCCACATTAACCCCATCAATCCCCTGATTAAATAATTATAGAGAGGGATATTGAGGAGTTAGGTGTAATCGAGGACTATCTAATCCCTGTAAATTCCTATTAATCTCTCCAGATGCTACCAAATTTCCCCTAATCAGTTAAATTTACATTAATCCTTCTACTAATTCACACTAAATCTTTTGAATAAACAAGTATAGATTAAAGATGACACCAAATTTTAATTAATTTTTACTCAAAATAAGAAAAATTTCAGCGAAAAAGCTAAAATTTGATCATTTTTAAAATTTTGAAAAAACCGGGTCCGGGCCCGGGTGTAAAAAAACCGGGTTTTCGAGTTTTCCGGGTTTTCGAGGTTTTAGCCCGGAAAACCCGGCCCGGGTCAACAAGAAAGAAAAAAACCCGGATACCGGGCCCGGCAAAGTGAAAATGTCGAGCTCTACAGATAAATTTCCTTCCTCATTATGGGGAAGGGACTTTTGAGAAAATCCTTGATTTAAATGATCTTCTTGGCCGATCTCTTCGCAAACAATCTGATTCTTTCCTTTATCTACACAATCATTCTGTGAATTTCCTTCATTATTATCTGTTTGAATATTAGTCAAATCTAGGCAATCCTTTTGTCCTTTCTCATTTTTCTTTTTTAAACGGTATTCTCGCATATATTCTCGTTGATATTCTAGCTTTTTTTCTTTATTATTTTCGATATAGTATTTTCTTTCATATTCTTGTTTTCTTTCTTTATTAATTTGATTATACTTTTGCTTATACTCTTTTATCTTTCCTTTATTCTTTTGACGGTAATCTTTCAAATATTCAGCTCTCCTTAATTTCTTTTCATCCTCATTCTTCACCTTCTTTAAGTCCTTTTTAGTAGGTTTACGAGTTAGTTTTATTGTCTTGTTATACAGGGTGTTTCACCAGAAAAGCCCTTTTTGAGAAATCAATAACTTTTTTCAAAATTGATATATTTTAATGTTATTTTGTATTTTATATCTATAATATATAAGGTTTTTTTTTGACATAAAAATTATGTCTAAATTCGAACCCTAACCCGAGATAATTTCGTACTCTACCGTTCTGTTTTTCCCTTTTTCCGCACATGTTTTCTTACTCCCTTTTGTTTTTTTTTGAGCGGCGATAGACACTAGAGTAAACACTAGGCGATAGACACTAGATTTTCAATACAGTATCCACTCTTCGCCATACGCAGGAAAATAAATGAAGTAAGATAGCACACAATGAAAAGAGGGAAAAAAGAGAACGGTAGAGTACGGATTTGAAATACTGGGTTAGGGTTCGAATCTAGACATAAATTTTATGTCAAAAAAACCTTATAAATTATAGGTATAATATACCAAATATCGTAAAAATCTATCCACGCAGTAAAAAGATATTAATTTTTCAAAAAGGGCTTTTCTGTTGAAACACCCTGTATTTTTGACTTTGAGGATTAGCCGATGATTCAGCCTCATTATTTAATGTCCCATAAAAATCACCTAAATTCTGATTAGTTTCTTCAATTAACTTTTGATCATTTTTATTTTTCACAGAATTAATTGAACCCCATAATATCGAATTGAATATTAAAAGGATTAAGACATTAATAAGATTCATTTAAATTGAATTAAAAATTAACAGAGCGCGCTAAATTAGGAGGACTTTTTTCTTTTAGACTTTCTTAAAAGTCAAACTTATTAAAAATGAAATGACGGAAAAAACTATCAAAATTGCTTGCTTATTATATAGGAATGAAAGGTAAATAATGCTAGGTGTCGAAATGGCAGACAAATAATGAAATTAAAAAAGCATTTGTAATATTCCTTTCAAAAAACCTTAAACCAAATCGTTGAAATGAAAGTACATAGACCTTTAATATTTTTGTTTTTAAATTATAAGCAAATTAAAGTGTAAGTTTAATTAAGATTATCGTGGGAAAATAGTGTTATGTCCCCGCTTACGTAGACGCGTCTATACGAATCTAAACGTAAGTAACTCATTAACTGATAATAATAATAAAAATAATTTTTTATCTAGAAACTAGTTTAATTAATATGTACATTTAAGAACATAATTTACAATTAGTTAAAATAAAAATAAATGTTCTTCTTCGAAAAGAATTTTCAAATCATATTTACATATCACAATTTCTTAAGAAATTTAAATTATCCAAATAATTAATATCAGACAAGAAATTCAGATAATCCAAATCATTCAGTTCATTTAATTGTTGAACATTTTCCGTTTGAACATTTTCTTTTTCATGGGCGTTAACACACCCATCCGTTTGTGGATTAACAGATAAATTTCCTTCCTCGATATGGGTAAGGGACTTTTGAGAAGATCCTTGATCGTTCTCTTCTTGATCGTTCTCTTCGCAAACAATCAGATCCTTTCCTTTATCGACACAATCATTTTGTAAATTCCCTTTATTATTATCTGACTGAATGTTAGCTAAATTTTCCGTTTGTCCTTTTTCATTTTTCTTTTTTAATCGGTATTTTCTTTTATTTTCGTTTATCTTTTGTCTATTCTTTTGGTTGTATTTTCTTTCATATTCTCTCTTTTTTTCTTTATTATTTTCACTATATTTTCGCTGATATTCTTTCCTTTCTTCTTTATTATCTTGATAATATTTTCGATAACGATCTTTTAACTTTTCTTTATTCTTTTGACGGTAACCTTCCAAATATTTAGCTCTCCTTAATCTTTTTTCATCCTCACTTTTCACCTTCAAGTCCTTTTTTGTATTTTTAGTAGGTTTGTGATTTATTTTTATCACATTTTTATATTTTTGACTTTCGGGATTAGTCGATGATTCAGCTTCATTATTTAATTTCTCGTGAAAATCAACTAAATTCTGATCAGTTTCTTCAATTAAATTTTGATCTTTATTATTTTTAACAGAATTAATTAAACTCCATAATATCGAATTGAATATTAAAAGGATTAAGACATTAATAAGATTCATCTAAACTACCTAAATTAAAAATTATAAAGCATATTTAATTCCTAAGGCTGTGTTGTAGGCGGCGTGGTGTAATGGCTAACACATCAGTCTGGTCTACTGAAGATTAACACCCAGCCTCCTAATAACCTTTTTCACTAGCTAAAGGAGAGAAATAGCTATAGCCCAGCTACTTTACTTAGACTTTCTTTAAAGTTCAACTCATTAAGTTTTATTTTTTGTATTTAATAAAATAACACAAAAACTATCAAAATTGCTTGTTTATTATACATAGGAGTTAAAGTAAGAAAGCGATTGTATAATGTCCTTTTTAAAATTTTAAAAATCGTTGAAAGGAAAGTACATAGACCTTTAAGAAATATTTTGTTTGTTAAATTAAGCGAATTAAAGTGTAAGTTTAATTAAGATTATCGTGGGAAAATATTTTTCAATAATCAATTTAATTTAAAAAAATTTTTAAAATGATAGCTCATTCGAAAGAGCTCGTCGAGCTGAGTCGAATTTCGGTAAAATCAAGTCGGATTTTTTGATTTTTAATAGATATGTTCGAATTTTTTAAATAAAATCTTCATTCGCGTTAACAGTTTTCATTCCAACTTCAACCATAAAAAAGTGGCATTTATTTTATATTGACATTTTTTATATTTTAATGCATTTAGGTAGACGACCCATAGAAAATACCATAAAAACAACGATGAGTATGAAAAATTAGTTTTAATTTTCATTCTAAATTAAAACCAAACGGTTTTACGATATAAGTCTAAACGTGGGTAACGCATTAGCTGAAAATAATTACCCCTATAGCGAGAGGTTGACAAAATAATTACCCAGGGTAATTAATTGATTGTATACGTTATCTGTAACAATAAAAAACTTATTAACTTAAAATGGCTAAGAAAAACGGAACTGGTGTCTCATTATTTTCATACACTTAAAAATAATTGAAAACAACAAGGCAGCTCTTCTTTAAAAAAATTGTAGTAAAATAAATAAAAGGCACAAAAACCAAAAATTGTATTTTTATATTTGTTAATGTTATTATTTATTGCTCATTTACCAACGGTTCAGTTATTTCAGCATCATATTCAACTTCATCATCAGCTGTCGCATCTTGGTATTGTTGATACTCTGACACCTTAAATGAAAAAAGTTTAAAACCAAATAAATTAGATGCAAAGAAATTTCCCAAGAGAAAATGAAAATAATAAAAATACAAACCAAATCGTTCATATTAGATTCAGCTTCAGTAAACTCCATTTCATCCATTCCCTCACCAGTATACCAATGCAAAAATGCCTTGCGACGGAACATTGCTGTAAATGAAATTCAAAGTAATTAGAAATCCACAAGTTTTATCCGCAAAAAGGAAAAAATAGGGATTAACCAGAAAAAGGTCTTAAGGAAAAAAGAAATTTTAAAAACATATTGAATTTTAGACAAATACTCTAATAATTCAATAGGACCACGAACCAAACCTACAGGCAAAAAATATCAGGATTGTGACTTTCGGCTGTAGTGTAGTGTACCGGTGGTAAAAGTTCGAGACGTGACATATGTCATTCGATTCGTCTCGACGAGCTGAGTCGAACGGTACCACTCCCTACTTTAGGAAATAATTCTGGACCGAGTTATAGGTCCCGAAAAATCGAAAAACCAAAGGGGGGACCAAGCACTTTTTTGGGGTGAAAAATTCGAAAATGCAAATTATACCTCATTCGAAAGAGCTCGTCGAGCTGAGTCGAATGACACCAAAATCAACAAAATCCGACTTGATTTGACAAAGTTATGACCGTTTGTTTTAGCTCCTTACCTATGTCATCTGTGGAGATTTTTGCTGCTATGGAGGCCCCAAATACGTCCAGAGCAAGGGAGATAGGAATAGGTTTATGTTACGAGCCCAGACCCACCGCCCGTAGACTCCCCGCGAGGCGCGTGCCGCAAAACCCCGCGCGAAGCGCGGGGTTTTGCACAAGCGCCTCGCCGATGCCCCATAGGTTTAGGTTTTTTTTGTTTTTTGTGTCGTAACTTTGTCTAATCTTGTCCAATCACGGTGATTTTGATATCATTCGACTCAGCTCGTCGAGCTCTTTCGAATGAGCTAACATTTGTAGAATCGAATTTTTGACCCTAAAATCCCCCCTATGATTTTTGACCATTTCGAGCCCTATATCTCGACTCAAACTTGTTCAATCAAGCTGATTTTGGTGTCATTCGACTCAGCTCGACGAGCTCTTTCGAATGAGGTATAATTTGCATTTTCGAATTTTTCACCCCAAAAAAGTGCTTGGTCCCCCCTTTGGTTTTTCGATTTTTCGGGACCTATAACTCGGTCCAGAATTATTTCCTAAAGTAGGGAGTGGTACCGTTCGACTCAGCTCGTCGAGACGAATCGAATGACATATGTCACGTCCCGAACTTTTACCACCGGTACACTACACTATATCCTGACTTTCCAAAGTAAAACACCCGGATTGAGACTCACAATTAGTCCCAACAAAACCCAATATTAGTTGAAACCTTTAACGGATAGAAACGTGATCTAAATTTCAACAAACAGCCAAATAAAAAAATAAAAACCTGTAAATTGCTCAGAAACTCGTTTAAACAATTCCTGAATTGCAGTAGAGTTTCCAATAAAAGTAGCAGACATTTTAAGACCACGAGGAGGAATATCACAAACCGCTGTTTTGACATTATTTGGTATCCACTCAACAAAATATGAAGAATTTTTGCTTTGAACTGACATCATTTGATCGTCAACCTCACGCATCGACATGCGGCCACGGAATATTGCTGCAACGGTCAGATAGCGTCCATGGCGAGGATCACAAGCAGCCATCATATTTTTGGCATCAAACATTTGTTTTGTCAATTCGGAAACATTTTGAGCGTGGTAAGCAGCAGAACCTTTGGCCGAGAGAGGCGCAAATCCAGGCATAAAAAAGTGGAGACGTGGAAATGGAACCATGTTGACAGCTAATTTTCGAAGATCGGCGTTTAATTGGCCTGGGAAACGTAGACAAGTGGTGACACCAGACATGGTCATAGAAACTGAAAATTGATTAAATTTTGAATGTTTAGTGAGGGAAAATATGTATATGTAAAAAGGACTAAACAAACCTAAATGATTCAAATCACTATAAGTAGGATTTGTCAATTTAAGAGTACGGAAGCAAATGTCATACAAAGCTTCGTTGTCTATACAATAAGTTTCATCAGTGTTTTCAACAAGCTGGTGAACAGAAAGAGTAGCATTGTAAGGTTCGACAACGGTGTCAGAGACCTTAAAATGAATTTTAAAAAATCAAAATTTGACATGCTGCCCCACAACTTAAGCATTTTTTAACTTCCAAGATTTTTCTTGAACTTAAGATCGGATCCAATACAGTTAAGTAGATAGAAAAACCCTAAGATTCTCTGCTTTTATGTGAGGAGCTAAAATCAATGACAGGACATGTTTAATTATAAAATCCAATGCCCCCTATTCAGAGTTCATTCAAGTCCGATTTAAAATATATAAAAACCTTCGGCGAAGGAACAACAGAAAAAGACGACATAATACGATCAGGATATTCTTCTCTTATTTTTGAAATTAACAAAGTCCCCATTCCAGAACCAGTTCCTCCTCCAAGCGAATGAGTTAACTGAAATCCTTGTAAACAATCACATCCTTCTGCCTCCTTTCTGACAACATCCAAAACATTATCGACCAATTCAGCACCCTCAGTATAATGCCCTTTCGCCCAATTATTGCCAGCACCACTCTGACCAAAAACAAAATTGTCAGGACGGAAAAGTTGACCGTCAGGGCCGGCCTTGATTGAATCCATTGTTCCAGGCTCCAGATCGACGAGAATAGCTCTTGGGACGTATTTGCCTCCTAAAATTGAAATTAAAAAAATATTTAAACGTAAAAGACCGTGAGCCTCGTTGTAGTAAACATTAATCCTTTCAAGTTGTAAATCAGATTCCCCCTTGTACGTTCCATCAGGTTGGATGCCATGTTCGTCGGAAATGACCTCCCAGAACTTAAATTTGTTTAATTAGTGTTTTGAATATTTTAACGAAATTTTTAGGGGGAATCAAATTTTAGGAAAGAGAATTCATAAAAATCCGGAATTTTCTGGAGTTTCTCCAAGTATTATCATGTCTTGAATACTTCGAGCTCGCATCCCGAGAAATCGAGGATAAGACAAATTTAATCGAAGATTTTCAAGAAACATGATTTTTGCTGACAAAGGATTCCTTATCCAAAATATATGAATGATAGCTCATTCGAACCACTTTTGGAGCTGAGTCATATAATCGTAATTTCAAAAATACCCCAAAACCTAAAATCTATTGAATTGGACTGGCTAGTTGGTCTTGGTTAAACAAAAAACCTAATTATAAAAGTATTGTCTGGAAGTGTATACATCCAACTTAAAAGCATTTAAGTTAGAAATATGCTCTAAAAGGGGGGGGGGTAAATTAACTACTTACATACCTTTGACCCGATTTGGTTTCCACATTGGCCAGCTTGGATATGAACAATCTCACGCATTGTTAGAGATTAAATTGAGAGTTATAAATAGAGTTCGAACCCGGGCCGGGCCCGGACCGGTTTTTTCCGGGCCCGGTGGCCCGGAACCGGGTATTTTTGGGAAAATCCGGTTTTTCCGGGCTAACCGGTTTTTCCGGTTTTAACCGGAAAAACCGGCCCGGGTGCGATTTTGTGTAAAAAAACCGGGTCCCGGGCCCGGTAATTTTTTGCCGGGCCCGGAGTGGGAGTTTTGGAATGTAAATTTGTCTGAAAATGGAAGTTTTGGCTTAAGGATCTCCCAAAATTCTCAAAATTTTCGCCTGCGGCGCTGGAAAAGTAAGAACTCTAGTGGGTTACAGTGCAGTTCCAGTTCAGGAACTAATTAGTTTTAGTTCCAGTTCCGGAACTAATTAGTTCTAGTTCCAGTTCCGGAACTAATTAGTTCTAGTTTCAGTTCCGGAACTAATTAGTTCTAGTTCCAGTTCCGGAACTAAAACTACGGAACTAACGATCATGTGGAACTAGTTTGGAACTAGAACTACGAAACTAGTAAATGCCTGGAACTAGCTTGGAACTGGAACTACGGAACTAGTAAATGTCTGGAACTAGTTTACCTGCAGCCCGCTGAGTATGGAAGAGATCTGGCTGCTTGAGCTCCAAAATTCTAAAAATTTTCGCCTGCGGTGCAGAAAAAGTTAATTTTTTCGGCCTAAGACCTTAGAAATTCTCAAAATTTTCGCCTGCGGCGCTAAAAAGCGGATTTTTGGCCTCTTAATCCTTTAGTTTATGCTCCACTCTCTTTAAATCCTCCGATATCACTCAAAATCCTCTTATAACCCAGATATCACTACAAATATCCCCAGATATCCTTTTAAATCCCTTAATCCCTTCAAATCCTCATATCTCCCCGATATCTATTATGTGAAAACCCAGAAATCCCGCAGGATCTCGCTAAATTTTAGAACGGGATTATCTGGATTACGGGTGGTTTCTAGTAAGTAGCTACTTTTAAATCCACTTAATCACACTGTAACCCTCCACTGCCCTTTTATCCCTTCACATCGTTCCTAATCCCGTTATACTTCTAGACATCGAGGTTTCAACTGAAGTTACTTCTTTACATTGATATCACCATAATTCCCCCTATATCCTTTTCATTCTCCAAAATCTCACGTTATATCGTGTTAACCAACTAAATCCATTTGCCTTACACTAATAAAGATATATGTATGTAGACGGGATATCACGGGTATCATTGGGTATGTAGATTTTTTATGTTTTTAATAAATTTAGAAAAAACCGGGTCCGGGCCCGGGTATGAAAAAATCCGGTTTTTCCGGGCTAACCGGTTTTTCCGGTTTTATCCGGATGAGAAAAAAAACCGGGTCCCGGGCCCGGCATTTTGAAAAGTTCGAACTCTAGTTATAAATCGAATCTAAAAAATTCTTTTTTGTTTATTCCGAAAAAGTAAAAAAATTGTAAAAATTATTAAAAAGAATATTGATTTGAGGAAAAGGATTGAAATGAAAGTCAACTATTTCCACAAAAAAAATAATAACAGCCATCCACCTAAAGTAGACTGACTGCAAACAATTGGTCAAGAGTCAAAAGTATTTATAAAAATAAAAAAAATCACGGATGCTCGTCGGAATAGAGTTTAAAGACTAAAGATTGTAGTATTAGTCATTTTCGTAGTGCTGGACATTTTAAAATTTTGATATTTTGTATTTTCTCTAATTTTTACATTTTTAGGTTAGAGAACACAGAATTAATACAAGTTAGAGAAAAATAAAGATTATTAGGCGATTTTTGTCCTACTTGACATTTTTAAATTAGATATTATGTAATTATATATTTTTTCATTTTATGTGAGAGAGTGTGAAGAATTATAAATTAGAGAAATATAGAAAGAAGTGATTTCATTATGTAAGGAATTTCCTTACTTTTTTTACGGGTACCCAAGTAGGCGCGCGACCATAAAGGCGCGAAAGAATAACTTGCTTCAAGACTTACGAATTTTACCAAATTTAGCATTATACTATTCCTCTCATCGAGCTAAAGAGATTGGTACGAAAATTGATAAGGACAAGAAATTTTCCAGCAAGTTATGGCTAAGCGCCTTTATGGTCTCGCGCCTACTTGGTCGTGTCTTTTTATTTAAGATTTTGAAATCAGAAAGGTCAAGCTTTTTCTTTGTTTTTTTGAGTAAATATACTTGTACATTTTCGAGTTTTTTTGTGTTTTGTCTAAATTTCCCTTATTTTTAGAACAATGTTACGTTCATCGTTAAATCTTATTAAAAATTTCAACAAAATTGAAGCAACTTCATTTTACCATCAAAACGTATTAGATCATTATAAAAACCCAAAAAATGTTGGCTCTTTGGACAAAAATGACCCTACAATAGGCACCGGATTGGTAGGTGCCCCTGCTTGCGGGGATGTTATGAAATTGCAGATAAAGGTTTTAAATTACAAATAAGTCATATTTTCGGGGTTTCTCTTTAATTTTTGTAGTCTTAAAAATCTAGGGATGTTTCCTAAATCTTTTTGTAATTCTGGCCCGGTTGTTGTACGTGGACCCAAATTCTCATTCTATTTTGCGTACATTCTTTTTATTTGGGAAGTCACTAAATTTTGAATTAAGGTTGTCGGATCCGGATCCGAAAAAGGCAGGATAGCCGAAGATTTTCAACCGACAACCTTATTGGGAAGCTAACTGACTAATATCCTTTATTTCATTTAAACGGCTTTACTTACTCCGTTTTCATCCCGTGGGTCAACGTACAATCGAGTGTACCTGTATTTCCAATAAATTTATATTTTTTGCTATTTTTGGTTTAATTTCAGGACTATTTAATTTACAGTTTTTATCTACAATAATATTATTAAAATCTAATTTTCCCCTTTATTTAGGTTGATGAGAATGGAAAAATTGTCGATGCCAAATTCAAAACTTTTGGTTGTGGATCAGCAATTGCAAGTTCTTCTCTGGCTACCGAAATGATAAAGGGACAACATTTGGATTTTGCTGCAAAAATAAAGAATCAACAAATTGCTAAAGAACTTTCTCTTCCACCTGTCAAATTACATTGCAGCAGTTTGTATTTTCTGTTTTTAAATGTTTAAGTTTGCATTTTTGGGAAATGATATTTTGAGAGCTTTTTAAATTACTTATAAATCAGGGGTAATTTTACAATTCCCCTCCCCATTTTATATTTCCGCCAGCATGTTTTCCAGGTTAAGATAACTAACAATGAGTGAAAATTAATATGACTTGTCTAGCCTAGATGGCAATGAGTCAACCCGAACATTCTAAAACTTTGACTCATAGAAAAAAATTAAGGGCCAATGTGGAGGGTTTAGGGGGGAGCAGTTCTTAAAATTACTAGTTATTTTAAAAAATTTTAAAAATAATTTTTTTTCTTTCAAGTGTTGGCGGCGGATGCTATATCAGCTGCCGTTAATGATTACAAAAAGAAACAAGAAGCGATTAAAAAATGAATTTTGAGGTATTTGATATTTAGTCAAAAAATTTTTAAATAAAATTATTTGATTTTTTCTCTATTTTTTTTTGCAAAATTTCGTTCTGATGTCTAATTTTATTTTTAGAATTTTATTTTGAAAAAATAAAGATTTTAAAATTATTTTTGGAAAAATTTTTTTTGCTTTCTCGAAGTTCTTCAATTCCAAAAAAATGAAAATTTTGGTTTTTTGGTCTTGTTGACTCAAACTAGGTTAGTCAAAGGGTTCTGAGTTTCATTTATTAATGTGGATGTCAATAAGTTTTGTTGTTGTTGAGTTAGTGCTTGAAATTGTGTTGGAACTGTGAATATATTAGAATGTTAGTCTAAATTAGTGTTAGACAGCTTTCCGAGCTTTTTCAAAGGACACCAGCTTATAATTGATAAATACGGGTACAGCCCAAGTAGGCGCGCGGCCATACGGCGCAAAGCCATAACTTGCTTCAAGATTTCTGAATCTTGCCCAATTTTTCAGAAAGTTTTAGCTTTCTCCGTTATGGCCGCGCGCCTACTTGGGCGTGTCCCGATAAATGCTGGTAATTGATTATCAAATACATAATAAAAAATAGATAAACTCAAATTTTAGATAAAATCAGAGTTCAGATTCATGATCAGCACAGAAAATTAACCCATAAAAGATTTTTACAGGATTCCTAAACATTTTTTGTCGGGACCACAAAACCGGGGATTGCCAGGCAAGGAGAATAGCGCAATACCACCCCTTTTTGCCTTACCTGTAAATGAATGTGATTCATTAAGTTCAGTCAATTTATTAAAATGGGGTCCCAAAAGTTTGTCAATTTCTGTTCTAGACAAGGATTGAAGTTTATTTTGTTGTTCCATTGTAGTAGGGGATTGTTGAATATCTTTATGTTGAATTGCGTTGTTTAATGTATCCGCGAAGAAATAATCACGTTTATTTCTTTTATTTTGTACATCTAGAATATAAAATTGATGGGTTAATCCAATAATTTTAATCTCAGGGAGTGACTTTCGAAATACATTTAATGGATTCAAATCAGTCATAGTTTCTTTTTTAGATTAGATAATTCGTTAGCAGTACAAAATAAATATACTAATTACGTTATCTAGATTTATATCTTAGGAGAACATAATTTTTTGGGTCGTTCCATATCACCCAGATCGAATTTGAACATAGAAAATTATTCTTTCTTTGTCTGGCCTTTTTTGGTTTAGAGGAGCAGGGAGGGGGGGGGGGGTGGTGAAATGGGGCTTAAAATTAGGATGGATTTCATTTCATTTTTTATAATTAATTTTTAAATTTTTACTTACTCTCTGGAAGCATGCCAATATCTAAACATCTCCTCATCTAAAAACAATATTTAACACAGAAAAATATTTAAAATTAAAAAATACCAACCCTGCAATTTCTACATATTTTTCTATATCCTTGCGCTAAAAAATAAAAAAATATTTTTAAAAATTTAAATTTTCCAACTTCCAATGTCACTCGGTCTAATCACACACCGCTGAGATTTTTTACAAATATATCTTTTCTGGTCACTTATTGACCGTCTAAAGAATGCCGCACAAGCAGCGCATGTCCGCGCCCCAAAGTGAAGGCCATTTGAAGCAGCCAGGTGACAGACTTGACAACATAATTGGGTTTGGACACGTTCAGAGGTAGTGGAGAATGTAGCCTCGTGAGAGGATTCTAAGGGAATTGTTGTTCTGAAGGAAATTTGAAAAATATTTTTTTGAAAATTTTTTGTTTCACTAAAAAACCCACTCTTTTGGGATATTAATAATTTCTTGTTTTATTTTTTCTCCATTAAAAGTTCCAAATGCGCTTTGTTGTACTTCACTTTCAAGCTCTGTAAAATTAGGGAAAAATTAATTTTCGGAAGAAAAGAAATCCATAAAACTTCCTATTTGATGTATTTACCCGATTAATTCCACTGGGAAATTATTTTTTCAATTTATCCGGGGCATGGGGAATTATTCAAGGGAGGGGAATTATTCGAGTTTTGAAATTTGAACGTGTAGTAGGGTATTTGGAAGAGGGGGATTATTGTTTCAACTCATCCGTAGCAGGGTGAATTATTCGAGAGAGAGGAATTAGTCGAGTAAATACGGTATATAAAATCTTGATTCTGAAGGTTCTTTTGCTATTTTTCGGGATTTTTATTTCAATTTTCTCAAAAAAATCATTTCAAAATTTTCTCAAAATTTCTTTCTTAATTCAATAAATTCATTAAAATATTTTTACTTATAGTTGTTATATGCGGATGCATGAAATCACTTCCATTATTTTTTGAGACATCAATAGAATTGACAGAACTGTTGGGTCTACTAGAGTTATTTGACACTGTTCGGGTACTCAAATCCATTAATTGTAATTGGGATTCGTTCTTTAAAAATTTTTTATTTTAAATTTTGGATATTAGATAGACAAAGGAATAAAAATATTGTAAAGAAGTGAATATCCACCAACTAGATTTTATTTAAATCTTTAAGATCTATAAGAGAAAAATGTGTGTTTCGGTAGAGGCTCATTTGTTTGAGGAAACTTAACGAGGTGAGCGAAGTTTATAGCAAGTGCCAGATCTGTGGTTCGTTCACATATTCGATCTGGCAGGGCGCTAAACATTACCAGATGTTTAGCGCCTAAACATTACCAGAGATGCGGAAGTTCCAAAATTTTGGCAGGTTATTGGACCGCTTTTTGAAATCCTTCGGTTCCAGCTCTGGAACTGGAACCACGCATCACTTACCATTACTTTTAGTATATGCGAGACTATTAAACTGACCTCACAATCACTATAATGAGGTCCCCCTTAACAATAATGAAGTCTCCCCTTAATATGAGTATGAGCTCTTCTATAACTCGAAGTCTGCTAGCTTTAAGACAGTAAGATATTTCAAGAAATTACTGGAGATTTTGGGTGGTTGTTTATCTCTAATGTAAGTATTTCCCCAAATCAAATTAATTCACAACAATTATATTATTCACCTGTTGATTATTTGTCAAAGTATTATTTGAACAAAATTGGATTTGATTTATTTTGGGGGTAGGTTTTTCAATAAAAGAAGAATTATTTATTCCTATTCCATTATTTCCTCCACCGCTAATACTGTCACCACTATTAGCATAAATGTTGCACATAGCAAAAGGCATGAGTGCAGCAGAGGTATTTGATTGAAGTGTTGCTGCTGTGGAGTTGAAATTTGTTGGAGAAAAAGCGGTGAATTGTGAGGAGGGATTGTGTCCAATTACTGAAGAATTACCATTCGAAGTTATTCCAAAATTCATAAGGCCCATACAATCAAAATTTGCTGTTACAACTGAAGTAAGGTTGGAAGTATTCGAAGGGAGTAGATTTGTTGGGAAATGACGGGCAAAGTTGGTTGTATTAACAGTTGATTCAAATGGCGCTGAGTTTGCTAAAGAAATTACAATTTTTTTGATTATTTGTACTAGATATTAGAGGTCGGTTTCTGGATATTCTTCGGATATCCAAAACCGAACCGAAAAATCCTCGGTTCTTCGGTCCAACCCTACCTCGATTCTTGTACGACTCTCTCAGTCCGTCTCTAATGTATACCGTATCTAATTAAGCACACTAATGCTTCAAACACTTGCTGGATTGAGGGCAATACATCAAGTAAATACGGCATAACTCATTATATTGAACGTTTTATGTTAAAAAAATTTTTTTCAATGCGTTAGTAGGTTGGAATACTCTCAATGGTAGTTTAAATTCCCCTCTGGTATTACAGAAATCTCATCATTATTATTAACTTTTTAATTTATTAACTAAAATTTACCAGAAAGAGGAGAACGAAAATTAACAGAAATCTCATTATTATTATTTTGTATTCCGGAAAAATTATTTGAAACAATCTGTTGATTATTTTGTTGTATAGCAGCAGAATTAAAAACAGAATTAGTAGAAGATTCTGAAGCAAGAGAATTTAAATGTTTTTGTTGTTCAACATTTTCAGAAGAATTAATTCTGGTTGAAGATAATGCTTGAAAAAGTTGGCTTTGTTGAGGTGAATTGTTTTGTTCTGATTCTTTAAGTGATGTTGGTGCTCCATAAAAAACATTAGAAACACCTAGTGGAGAAGTGATGGGGGGAATTGATGTTTGTCCGGTAGCCCAAAACTGTGATAAATTATTGTTTTGTGTTTGCGATGTTGTGTTCATTTAATTAAACAAATGTTTTGTTTAGCTAAAACACAAAAAATTTATTTAATTTACAAGTTGAGCAAAAATAAAAAACTTGCTAGAGAAACAAAGTTAGAAAAATAAATAAAACTTTGACTTAATCACAACAACTAAATAGGGTATCAAAACAAAAATAAACTTGTTTTGAACAAAACAAGTTGTAAGAAAATGTTGGAATGATTAAAACATCAAAAAAATGTTTTGAAGCATTAATCTTATAAAACAAATGTTGTGATGAAAACAAGTTTAGCGGAAACACAGAAAAACACAGAAACAAGTTTCTTACCAAACAAAGTTGGAAAAAACAAAAACATAATCAAAAACACATGTTGTAATCAAAGTTTGACTAGTATCAAATCAGAATTTTTATAAACATGTTTGAAACATAAAAACAAAAAAATGTTTAAAACATTGCAAAACACAAAATAAATAAGAAAAACAAATCATTTAAAAAATCAGAATAATATTTGAACAAACAAAAAAGATAAAAAGAAAATACATTTCTTGTAGTTAAAAACTTTATTAAAATAAGAAAACATTATCAGAATAAATACAAAAATGTTTTATTTAAAGTTTATTTCCTTGTTTATTCTAATTTTCTTTAAAACCTTTTTTCTTTCTTTCACAGTTGCGTCGTAATTACGAATTACGGCGTTTTTTGAGTTACGAATTATGATTACGAAAATATCGGAAAAAATTACGAATTACGAAAATAAAAATTACGAAAAAAGTCATGAATTTTCCAAAATTTTCGCCTGCGGTGCAGAAAATTAAGAATTTTGGTTTCATGACCATCTAACTTCAAAGACTCCGGTCTAACAATTGAATTTTTTCTCCTAAGGCTTTCCAAAATTGTAAAATTTTTGCCTGCGGTGCAAAAAAGTGATTATAGATTTTTAGTTGGGGTTAGAAAAATTTCACAGGTCTTGTTTCGGGTTTGAATGGATATCAGGGGATCTGTAGGGATTAGAAGGTTCGTATTAAGTAAGATAAATTTTGTCAGAATTAAGTGAGAGTGATATCAAATGATATCAAAACTTAATCTGGGACGACGATTCCGCATGATTGATTGAAGAGATATCGGGGGATTAAGGGGAATAAGGGGGATATCAGGGAATTAAATGGGGTTTGAAGTAATATCAGAGAAATAAGAGGACTTGGAGGGATTATGGGAGCAGAGAGATTAATAAATATTTGATTTTTTAAATTAATTTAAATATTTTTTTATAAATTACGAATACGAATTACGGCATTTTTTGAGTTACGAATTACGATTCCGAAAATTTTTTTTAAAATTACGAATTAAGATTACGAAAAAAAAATTTTCGAATACGACGCAACTCTGCTTTCTTTAAAAATAAAGTTTAATTAAAAATAAGCAACTTTTTGTGTTTTTATTTTTAAACGTACAAAATTTTTGTATTTTTCTACAATTATTATAAAAATATAGTTAAAAATTTAAATTTACAATTTTGAGGGGGAAAAGTTGTATTTTTATATTTTTATAGTTTTGTCTACAAAAATTTGTTTGTGGGAACGTAAACAAACGAAAATTGGATTTGAATGTTTTTTTAATACAAAATAAATTTTTTAGTGATATAAAATAAATTTTTTTAAATATTTTGTATTTTTCAAAATAATTAAAAGTTTAATATTAGAGGGAGAATTATTTTGAAAAATACAAAATTTAAAAAAGAATTTAAAAATACACTGTAATTCTCCCTTAATTTTTCCCGTTCTCCCGTTAATTTAATAATTAAAAAGTTTAAAATTAGAGGAGAATTATTAAATTGACGGGAGAACGGGAAAAATTAAGGGAGAATTACAGTGTATTTTTAATTAAAAGTAGGGTGCCAAAATGGCTGCTACTGTTTCAATTTTGTTTAAAAATAAATTTTGCGGAAAAAATTAATTTGGGGAGAAAATTTATTTTAAATTGAATTTTCTTAAAATTTTATAGAATTATTTTAAAATATAAAAAAATTAAATTTTTAACTTTCTAATAATTTTTTAAAATTCTTAAGAAGTGAACTAACACAAAGAGAAAATTCATTCTTATTACCATAATCTCCTTCCTCTCCACCACCCCCTAAATAAAAAGATGTGCCCAATCGCGTGTCTTTCCATAAATATAAACTTGTCTAATTAGTTTTTGGCCTAATTAAAAAAAATTTTTATAAAATGAAAGAAAAGTTGTCGAGATTCGAAGAATTGAGAAAATAAAAATTGGAAGAAAATAAAATAATTTTGTACTCATTAAAATTACACGCACTTATGCCCACATATCGTGGGTAAAAGCGCCGCTTTATTTGTGAAGGGATTGAAAGAAAAAAATTTTTTCTTTTGTTGATTAGGGGCATAACTAGCCTTTCTTTCTCTTTATCTTAAAAATGTCGCTGCCAAGTCACGGAAATGTGTGCCAAAAAGAAAGCTTAGAAAGTGGGCGTTGAATTGCGCGAAAAGGTGTGTGTAAATGAGTAGGTAGTTGGGGAGGATAATATTAAGGAGGGGAAGGGGGGGAGAGAGAATTGAGATTTTTAGGTTCTCACGATTAGAAGAAATTGAAAGGGGTCTATGGGATTTTTTAAATTAAAAATAAGGATATTACTATATTGTTGTCTGTAAATTGTTTTTGTCTTTTTTTCTTATTATATTTTTAAAATAATTATTTAAAAAGAGAAAAGGAAATAAATATTTAGGTAAATATCAAAATTTAATTCATAAGTTTAGGTTGGAAAATCTTTAAAAAATTAGAAGAAACATGGCAATTTAACGAATTCCATGTCCTATTGTAATGATAAAGCTACTTTCTTGTTAATATTTTGAGGATTTTATATTTTAAATAATATTATTTATCTAATAAATGTGAAGCAATTCAGAAAATTTGCCAGAAATGTTTAAATTTGTCTTCAGTTTAATTAATTTTCCATTTATTTTTTAGAGTTTTAAAATCATATTTATAAAAGATTTTAAATAAAAAAATATTTTATAGAAACAATGTAATACATTTTATTTTATGTACATAAATATTATATTTAGTGGGGAGAAATTAAACCTAACCTTTTAGTAGTCATTAAATAAAGCAAATATCTAATTAAATTTTAAATATTTTTCCTGAAATAAATCAGTAACCCTAACATTGTCCAATTTTTTCCTAATCCCTAAGTGATGATTGTATATTTGATCCAAAAAATTGTTCGCAAACCCTCCTCTCCTATCACAGCTTTGTCACAAACGCTACAGAACATTATTTATTTAGCAAGTACAAACACACAAATGACAAATCTTTTTTATCCTAAAAACCTTTAAGATATCTCGTATATGCTAAAATAACTGCCCTCTCTCAAATAATTACCCTCTCCCTATTAAGTACCCTGGCTTAGCCTGAGTTTGAAACAAAAATTACCCCATAATAATTATTTTAGCTTAAAAACGTTATAAAATACTAATAAAATTCAGGAGCCTATTAATTTTGAAAATAATTAAAAAATTAATTTTATCAATCAACAAAATTTTAAATTAAATAAAAAATAAATTAAAGTACACAAAATCACATTTTATTGTTCTATAATAATTCAAAAATAAAAATACAAAAAAGAAGAGAATTTAAAAATATATTTTGTCTCAAATAAACACTCTTTTAGTGTACTTTATGAATAAAACGAGACCAAAAACTGAAATTAATTTAGGAAATTGCTTATATATCCGTTCGTTTGTAAATAGGATAATATTATCTGGCGACGGAATTTTTTTCTAAAAAAAGTAACAAAACATTTAAATATATTCGTCACAAAAAATGTTGATTAAATTAATATTTAATGTAAATATTCTAATATAAGCATACCTCTATTAGAAGCCCATCCATAATTTGTACGTGAAAGTATAAAAATATTCCAAATTGATGTAGAAGATTATTTTTGTTATTATTTCTATAGAGTGCCAAATCAGTAGTACGGTCACATATTCGATCTGTCCGGGCGCTCAACATTTACTCTTAGTATATGCTGACTTCACTAACACAATAATGAGGTCCCACCTTAATTTGGGCTTTTCTATAGCTCGAAGACTGGTAGCTTTAAGATAGTTAGATATGTCAAGCAACTACTGGAGGATTTTGGGTGGTTGTTTATTTTTAAGTACTTCCCCACTTCAAAATAATCCTCAATTATTCAC